GGGCCGCGGCCCCCCCCCCCCCCCCCATATCTTCAGTGAGTGAAGAGCCCTGACCTGCAACTTGCTTAGTAAACCCAGACTTTTTCCTCCCCCCAGGTGGACGTGTCCTTCTGAAAAAGGCAAGTTTACATATTCTGTGGTGGTGGTACTTTAAATCAGAGCCAGATGAGAAAGCTCAGTTCACAGATGTTGAACTGCTCAGAGCACTTGGTTAGAACATGATGACTTTTCTTCCTCCACCCTCCCAATGGGAAGCGGAAGAGAGACAAGGAAATTCCTTCCCAAGGAGAATTTAGAAATATTTTTCCTGTAGTACAATCTGTAGTTACCACTTTATCTAGTTAATATGATCTAGAACAGGATGCAGTGTGGCAGAGGTAGGACCATCTCTCCAGATTGCACCCATTCACATCAACGCCTGAATCTGACCTTTCATCAGCCGTGTTTTGACTCTATTATATTTGTTAACTGAATCTCAGCAATGGAAGAAGCTTAGTAAGGGGTACACTACATTTGATATGCATAGGGTTTTATATTGACAAAGGCTTGTGCCTCATGAAGTTCCTTGCAGGACTGTAATATTTTGCAGAAAGATGGGAGTGTATTTTTCTAGTACAGTTGCCTATTGGACAGTGCTGCCTTGTATGTAACTGTATGTACATTACTGTGTATATTTAACATTTTGGCATTTGGCTTCCACTTGAGAGTTTGAGTATGAAATGCAGAATTAAACAAATCCTGTATATAGTGCTGACTTAGAAACACATTTAACGGAGCAGTATGAACAAAGGAATTATATCTTAATGCAATTTAAAAAATGCTAGAGTAGAGAAAAGGAAATGCTCTGATCAGTGCACAGTTTACAGTACACTATAAATTAGTGACCTAATAGCTGTAATATATGGGGGTTTTTTATGCACGCCTAAAACATATTTACTGAGAGAAGTTCATTTAGGGTTTTACTGTGTTACCTTCTTTCATCTGTAGATAACAAAACCGACAGAGAAAGGATATGCCCTTACTGTTTCCAGTTTCTGATTCCTGATAATCACAGAGTTCGTCTCAAACCCAAGATGAAAGTGACTCCACGGCTACAGAAACTTCTTAATCGGGAGGCAAAGAACCATAAACTCAATTTGAAACAGACAAAGCTTTTGAAAAAGTACAAAGACTCAAGAAGTGTTCTGGTAAGATTGCTATTCCAATCAACAGGAACTGGGTTTGTTCTTTCTCTAGAGCCTTTATTTTAGAGCCTTTATTTCCCTCAAAGTGAAAGGGAAGAAAAGATCAGGAGACTTTTCTCTTTAGAAATTGAGTTTGCCATCCATCAGATTATTTCATCAGAACATAACTTTTTCTATGTAATTTTCTTGTTGGGGTAATTTCAATTCCAATACACACACAAGGGATTTTAAAACAAAAAGCCTGAGTTTAACAACAAAGAAATGAGAAAATGGCAGGTTGAAAAATTCTCAAACATCCAAACACATTGCTGCAAAAATGTTCAGGTTTAGCAATCTGCATATTCCAAGATTTAACTTAAAAAAAAAAAAAGGCCTCTTGTCTTTTTGTTGTGAACGTTCCCAGTGTAGACTGAACTGTTAGTCGATTTGTGCACTCTCCAGCAAAAGTAGCAGCAGCAAAGATTGATAACATACTCTTCACTCGAGTGTTATAAGCTGCAGAGCCTTCTTCCTTAGCCATTTGAGGTATGTGTGCACCATGTTTTGGAACTATGGATGTAATTGATTAGTCGACTATCTGATAAACAAAAACTTATTCTGTAGTCGACACACTAGTTGAGTAGTCCCTTCCCCTCCCCTCGCTGCCTCTATCAAAAAGAGGCAGCAAGGAGGTGGGGGGGGGGAGAGTGCTGGGGGGGAGCCAGCTTAAGAGCCAGTTCCTCCAGCTCCATGGGAAGAGTACAGTGGCGGCATTCCAGTTCTGAAATGTACAAGAGTCCCTGCTGGGGCTCTTGTACATTTCAAAGGTGGAAGCCGCTGCTGCGCCTCCACCCCCTCCCATGGAGCTCCTGAGGCTCTTGTACATTTCAAAGTGGAAGCACCACAAGGAGCCCAGGGTCAGTGGGGAACTCCCCACTGGGCCCGGGCTCCATGCAGCCTTTCACTCTTTGAAATTCATAAGAGCCTCTGCTGGGACTCTTGTACGTTTCAAAGGCGGAACGCCACACAGCACTTCTGTGTTTGAAATAAAGCAACAGTTCCCAGCTGCGCCCCTGCCCTTTCTCCCCATGGAGACAGTGCTGGGGGGAAACTGGCTATTAAACCGGTTTCCCCCCAGCACCAGATCCTGCTTCCCCCCTCTCCCCCGCTTACTGCCTCTCTCTGACAGGCAGCAAGCGGTGGGGAGGAAGCGACTAGTCAAGTCACTAGTCCACTATCCAATAAGCATTTGCTTATTGGCTAATTGACTAGTTGTTTACATCCCTAATCCATAGACCATTTTTGTTGGTTTGGTTTGTTTCTTTTAATTGAGTGTAAACTGCCCGAGAAGCCTCTGATGTCTCTCAAACAGTCTTAAGGAAAACTGAGTTGGATGGCTGTTCGTACGAGACTTTCCTGACCAGTGTTTGATATTATGTAGTGAATAGCTAATTTGTGACTTCTTGTTTGTGGAATACAAAGTGGAAATTATCCAGCAAGGAAAAAAATGAACAATTGGCTTCCCTTGACTACAGGGTTACACTACTCATTTTTACCAAAGGGCAGTTTTATTACCAATAAAAGGTGCTGCAAACCAACATGCATAGGGGAAGGCCTCAGAATGCTCTCTGAGCTAAATGTTTCCTCTCACTTACACCAAGGTGTAACTGCAAAATAATTTCATCACAATAATGAAAGTAGTCATTAAGGGGAAAGGAAAGACACTGGTTGACACTAAACAGAGTAAACAGTGCTAACGTGTCATCTTACTGCATGATCTCCATTGTATTCTGGAACAAAAAAAGTGGAAAAGTGCACAAGATCTGAAGCACGCAGAGAATAACTATGTATACTTTTAATGTAGTGATGGAGGGACAAACAAATTTATTAAAACAGTCACGTAGACAGATGTTTTATTAAATGAAGATGACACTCCACTGGATACAATGTTGACTCTTCAGAGCATGTCCTGGCAGACTGGACACCTGCCTACGAAATGAGGACACTATTGATTATAATTTCCTCTTACAGAATTTGCAACAGTAGAAATGCAAAGCACCAAGAACATAAGATTGGGTTGAGAAGAATCATAGTTATTAACTAGTATCACTTACACATAACAGAAATAGGCACTTTAGAAAGACACAGTACAAAACAAAGCAGATTTTCTCCCCTCCAAATTTTAGTTTCCATTTGAAAGGCACACAAACTAATGTGAACTGGGAAGTTTTGCTTTTATTATTCATTGGTGTGATATCCCAAACATTTAGGCTAGATTTAAAGAGCTGTCATTTTTAGACAGGTGATATTCAGTGTGTGTTTTCCTATTCCAATAATGTGGGTGGATACAACACTTTATGGTCTTGCCTAAGCAAACTGAAGTAATTATATTTAAGGAGTGAGTAGATGACAAGGTGTGCCTGTACAATTATGTTTAAAAGAAACACAACCACCAAATATTGATGTACAGTGATTTGCAGAGCTTTAACAGGTTTTTAAACAAAAATGTACTTCTGTGTTTTGGCAGGACAGATTCTCAGGATATAACAGGCATCCATATAAATGTGAGCTTAGTAGTTTGTGGTCCATTGTAATCTCCATGTAATGTCCTTGAATTGGGATTCAAAAATAGTAAGTAATAATACCTTCTGCTCTGTTTCAGACAGACTGACAGTCTCACGAAGATCTGTCCAGGTTCAGATCAAGATTGACTTGCATATGTACTACGATTTAGTGCGCAATTTGCTACTTAAAGTGCGCCTGAAATGTTTCTGGTATTATGTACTTAAAATACTATCAGGAACTGACAGCTCCCACAGTTACCATTTGTAGAGACACATAAGCGCCTGCTGTGGAAGATAACACATTAGGAACAAGGCTGACTAGGATTTAAAATGCAGGACAATGTAGCACTTTAAAGACTAACAAGATGGTTTATTAGATGATGAGCTTTCGTGGGCCAGACCCACTTCCTCAGATCAAATAGTGGAAGAAAGTAGTCACAACCATATATACCAAAGGATACAATTTAAAAAAATGAACAAATATGAAAAGGACAAATCACATTGCAGAACAGAAGGGGGATGCGGGGGGGTGGGAAGGGGGAGGAAGGAAGGTAAGTGTCTGTGAATTGCTGATATTAAAGGTAGGGAGAGTGGGATGTTTGTGAGTTAATGGTATTACAGGTGATAATTGGGGAAACTGTCTTGGTAATGGGTGAGAAAGTTCAAAGACTTGTTAAGTCCTTGTTGGTAAGTGTCGAATTTTAACATGAATGACAGTTCAGAGGATTCCCTTTCAAGTGCAGATGTAAAAGGTCTTTGTAGCAGAATGCAGGTGGCTAAGTCATTTAGAGAGTGTCCTTTCTGGTTAAAGTGGCAAGAAACTGTTTTCTCTTTGTGATCTTACAAACCGATACAACCGCATCTGCTCTAACCCCACTGACAGAGACCAGAAGCTTCAGGATCGCTACCAAGCATTTATAAATCTCAACTACCCACCCAGAGAAACAAAAAAGCAAATTGAAAGAGCCAGACGAATACCTAGAAACCATCTACTTCAAGACAGACCCAAGAAAACCAACAATAGAACACCACTTGTCATCACCTACAACCCCCAACTTAAACCTGTCCAACACATTATCAATAAACTACAGCCTATATTGGAACAGGATACCATACTCAAAGAGGCTCTGGGAGACAGACCCATAGTCTCCTATAGACAACCACCTAACCTCAAGATGATTCTTACCAACCACCACAGGACATACCACACTAATACCAACCCTGGTACCTTCCCTTGCAACAAACCCCGTTGCCAGCTTTGTCCACATATTCATTCTGCTGATACCATTATTGGACCTAACCAAGTGAGTTATAAGATCAAGAACACATATTCCTGCGCATCCAGAAATATAATCTACGCTATCATGTGCCGAAAGTGTCCGTCTGCTATGTACATTGGACAAACATCTCAGACACTTCGCCAAAGGATTAATGCCCACAAAACAGATATCAGACAAGATCACAAAGAGAAAACAGTTTCTTGCCACTTTAACCAGAAAGGACACTCTCTAAATGACTTAGCCACCTGCATTCTGCTACAAAGACCTTTTACATCTGCACTTGAAAGGGAATCCTCTGAACTGTCATTCATGTTAAAATTCGACACTTACCAACAAGGACTTAACAAGTCTTTGAACTTTCTCACCCATTACCAAGACAGTTTCCCCAATTATCACCTGTAATACCATTAACTCACAAACATCCCACTCTCCCTACCTTTAATATCAGCAATTCACAGACACTTACCTTCCTTCCTCCCCCTTCCCACCCCCCCGCATCCCCCTTCTGTTCTGCAATGTGATTTGTCCTTTTCATATTTGTTCATTTTTTTAAATTGTATCCTTTGGTATATATGGTTGTGACTACTTTCTTCCACTATTTGATCTGAGGAAGTGGGTCTGGCCCACGAAAGCTCATCATCTAATAAACCATCATGTTAGTCTTTAAAGTGCTACATTGTCCTGCATTTTGCTTCAACTACCCCAGACTAACACGGCTACATTTCTATGACTAGGATTTAGACCAACAAGCTGACAGGCTACGTTTGCAAGACCTTTCTTAGTCATTAGCAATATTTTATATCTTGGTTTTAGCATACTGCTAACTTTGCAATTTGCATATCATTACCTATTATACTTTGCAGAGTTACAAAATTGTTAAATCTTTTTTTCCAGATTTTTCATCCTTTAATTGAAGATCAATTATAAAAGATATTTTTGCCTAAGCCATTGGTTTTCAAACTTTGGGGTGTGGAGTACTGGTGGTCTGTGGAGAGCTGGCAGGTCACATTGTTTTGATTCTCTTCAGCTGAAACCACTGAAAAGAACTAAAATAAATTAAAAGCTTTCCTATTCTTTTCTGTGAAAGCAATTGCTATACGCATGTGAGATGTTATGTGATGGCAGCAGTGTCTCAGACGGTCTCTCTATTAATATATGGTTTTGTGCATGAAGCTGCTTCCCCTTTGACTCCACTGAACTTTAGTGTAGGGGTTCTCAACCTTTTTCTTCCCAACATGCTACAAAACCTCCACAGCCCACCTGTGGCACAACTATTTTGTTTTGCATATAAAAGCCAGCGTCAGCATTTCAGGGTCGCCATCAGGACAGTTGCTTAGGTTTCAGCATTAGCCATGAGTGGTGGAGTTTGGGACCCCTGGCAGCAGGTTGATACAGTGGAGCTTCTTTCTGCTCTGGGCCCCAGCAAGTCTAATGCCAGCTTTACTTGGTTAACCTGAAACCTGCTCACAGCCACCCAGTGGGCCCTAGACTCCTTCCTGAGAACCATTGCTTTAGTGAATGCCCTGTAGTCCCAGGGCAGTTCTTACCATACCAATGACCTCCCTTGTTTTAACAGTGCGGGATATACCTCCCTAAACTGGGATCCTCTGGTCCAGTAACAAGGATCACGTATGTTCCTGGACCAGAGAGCCCAGGGACAGGGAGGCTCAGGTAACTCAGAGAGCATAGTGCCAGAGGGCTCAGGTGGCGCAGGGAATCCCATGATACAGCCTCAGGGGGGAGCTGTGGCAGCATAAGGAGCCCCACTGCAGGGGATCCACCAGTATGGGGAGCTCCAGTGGCACAGCCAGGAATCCCACAGGAGGGAGTCAGGGGGTGCCCCATGGCGTGGCTAGGAGCCCTGTGGCAGGGGGGCTCAGGTAGCACAGCTGGAAGTTCCGAGACATTCAGCTAGGGCTGGCAGCACAACTGGCTGAAGGCAGTGGGGGCTGGCTGGGGTCAGAAGCAGAGTTGGCAGGTGCCTGGAAGGCTGGTAGTAGGGAACCTCCCCTAGTCTGGCAGATTTCCATATTCGGGACCAGCCAGGTTCCAAGGGTGCTGGACCACAGACGTCCAACCTGTAGTGTATCTTTAGTTTTGAAGATTTTGAATTTAATACCACTTTCTTTGAAGACTTGCCAAAAAAGTGTTGTATAGTTAAGTTGAGAAGTGTAAATTAAAACATTTAAAAATATATTTTGGTAATTTTCTAAATTCTTGAATGTCTATGGTGAAAAATGAATCCCACGGCGGTACTCAAAATATTTTACAGTCACAGCCACTTCTAATGTTGCCTAGTTTTTTCTTGTTGTGACAAGATTGGTTTTTGTTTCATTCCATGTGTTTGCAATTCAGAATTAAAGACCCTGAAATTAGTTTCCAGGGGATTGGAGTTGTTTCTAGTCAGACCCTGGGGATTTGATGGCTTAAGTGGTTTAAAAAAAAAGCTATATGTGAATTCACTGTTGCTTTTTATGTCTCTCTGCTTCACATAACCAAGTCTTTAAGCAGCTTGATTCATTTTGTAATTTTGAAGAGCACTTGGACACTTATACATTTTAAATGAGGAAAGACAGAAGAGTTAACGTTTTCTTTCCTCTCTTCATAGCTGGTTACTTGCAACACATGCAACAAAACAACAAGACATTATGGTAAAAGCAGAGATTTTCTGGCAACAGCAACAAGCCGTTCTGGAACTCCAAAGAGTACACCAGACCCAAAGACTCCAATGTCTGCAAACAAAATGACACCCTTAAATCACAGTAAATCAGGATCCAAAGGCAAAAGTCCAGCATCAGCTTCCAGGTAACTGTTTCCATTTTACCTGAAGAGTCAATATACTGAATAAGTTGCAGTACTAGAAGTGAGAAAAGGGAGTTCAGACTAGCAATGTTAAATAACGGTTAATTGACTAGTCTATTAACCTCATGAATTGTTTTCAGTTACTCGACGAGTCTACAGTCCCTGGGGGTGGAGACTGGTAGCCAGTTTGCTCCAGCCCCATTTCTGAGGAGCCACCTGCCACTCAGCACTGCTGCCTCTGATACAGAGGCATTAGCACAGGGCGGCAGCAGCTCCAGTCAGAGGGGTGAGGTTGAGCTCCTGGACCCGGCACAAGCCAGAACTGAGCCAGGTTGCCTGCCTGGCTCCTAATACACTTTAAATGCTGTGGTAGGTCCCAGACCTGCTGCAAGCCAGGCTCCTAGTCAGCCAGCTAAAAATTTACTAGTTGAGTGGTGGGCGGGGGGAAAAGAGGAACGTGTGTATTTTATACCATTAACCTATAAGCTATTACATCCCTAGTTCAGACAAGTTTTTTAGTAATCTCTTATAATTAATAACCAATATTAGGGATCTGAAATGGGAAAATCATTTTAGTTTTACGGATGTAAATACTCATTAAAACAGTTGACTGGTTAACTGTTGGAGAGCTGGTGCAGATCATCTGGGGCTGGGGTCCAACTAGGGCTGTGGTCCTGCTGCCTCACTGGGGCAGAAATCCTGCCTGCCAGGGATGGTGAGGTCTGCTTTGGTTGGGCTGGTTACTGGGTAAACATGCTAGGAAAACTAAAGCTAAAAAGTATTTCTTCTTGTTTGGATTTTTAAAATAAACTTCAGCCTTAGTGTGAGAGACCTTTGAGAAAATAAAACCCTAAGCATATATGTAATATATGCAAACTCAGTACTTGCATACATATTTCGGTAGTTGTGCTTCTTACAACCCACTTTTAAAAGCAATGCATAAGTTATTCTGCACACAAACATTTTCAAAATCAGACCATAAAATTACATTATTCCCACAGTCTCACTTTTTTAATAAGATGTTCTTGATTTTTGTTTGGTTTTGCAGAACATGCATGCTTGGACAGTCACCATCCAGTTCTTTCCTCAAGACTCCCAAAACCACTAAATCTCACTTTTCTCAGCTCAAATGGCTACTTAATCTTGAAGAAAAACAGAAGAGCCAGAAGAGGGACCTGAGAAACTTCTTGTCTTCACTTTGAAATACTGAATGATTACAATAGTAATGGCTAAAATTGGGCCAGTAAATGAACTAAGTTAGTGACTGTTTTATGTATTATTTTATAAACTTATGAAAACAATTTTAATGATAGTTTAATTTGACTGTCTTAAGGCCTTCAGCATGTAAGGGAGGATTAAATTCATTGTTTGGAACATTCTTTGTACTTAGTTTGTCTACCAGAGGATATTGCTGGTCTCAGAAGCCTGAATTTGGTTCACAGTCTTTAATAGCTCAGGAATTAAAAGCCCAAATCTGTTCTTGAAACAGGTTGACTTGCATCAATGAAATGGCTTTTAAAATAGGATCCTGTACCACAGTAGAATTTGCAGAAGATCTGTGGTGTTGGTTTGTGGACATTCTCTGTGGCTGTGCAGATCTGTGAAACTGTTTTCTAAAGGAAATCTGTGTGGTCCTTAATGAACTGACAAATTAATTCTGAAACATGCCTGCTTAACGCTATTTAAAACAAGTAAGTATTACTCTGCAATTCCTGACATTGGTGGCTCTAGTTATCCATTGGAAAGAGAATTAATTAATTTGTTTTTGCATACAAATAGCTTTAAAACCAAAAATGTGTGTGTCTCTGCAAGTTGTTATATAAAGTGTTTCCTTTTTGTTCTTGACTGCATTCCTGTTTGGGCAGTAGCAAATTAACAAAATTATTACATTTATTCCCTGCACTGCATCTGGATTTTTGAAATCCAATTAAAAACCACTTTCCAACAAGTACAAATTGGTATATTTAAAAAAAATCATGGAGGCCAGAGCTTGTTGCAAATCTTTAGTGCCTATAGTTTTCTACAAATTAAGAGTGGGACCATTTCCTCCACATTGAGAAAGTATAAGGGATGCTGGAAGAACTTCCATTTTGCCTCTTTCCTACTCTGATCTCTAAACTAAGAACTTGCACTATAAGGAACATTCCAGTCAATGAACTGAGGATCTTTGAATTCTTTGGAAGAGACTTTACAAGTCATCAGTTTATTCCATTACTGTTTCAAGGCTGATAAGAATTTTACAATGTGTATGTATTTGAATTCCTTAACCATTAACTCTTACCCCCTTCTTTTCCTTTAAAAATAAGTCTGCAATATTAGATACTAAAGAATTGGCAACAGTGTGATTATTAGGTAAGAACTGTTGACCTGACTATGTGGCTTATCTCTTGGAATTAGGAGAACCCTTTCTCTTTGATGGAATTGGCTTTAAATAAACCACTCATCATTAAGTCTGGGGTCTGGGTGGTGAAGCAAGGGCTGGGATACCTATGGGTATGTCAAGACTACGTGGTCCTGTCGACTGAGCCATGTAGATGAGTTTACTAGACATTGCAAAATAAGTGGCGATTTAAATAATCGCCGCTTCATTTACATTAAAATGGCCGCCGCGCTGTGCCGACGATCAGCTGATCGGCACAGCGGGGCAGTCTAGACACGCCGCGGTTGACAAGGGAAGCCTTTGTCGACTGCTCCAGTATGCCTTGTGAAACTGGATTATTCGCCGCTTCATTTTGCTATGTCTAGTAAACTCATCTACATGGCTCCATTGATGTAGCCATGTAGTCTAGACATACCCTAAGAGACTGCATTTCTGACTTATTGTTAACCAGTTTGAGACAATCCTTTTTGTTATTGTCTCAATATATCTTATGGACGAGTAACTGCCACTTTGGTTTGGTTCAGTTTGTCCTGAATTTGGTATTCTTACTGGTGACTCATTGAGGTATTAACTTCACAATCAGCTTCAAAAATGGAACCTTACAGACAACTATTAAAAAAAAAAAAAAACAGTTTATTATACATACTTTGAAGGATCCAATACCCACCCTTCATTCACCAAGAACTTTATTTACAGAAAAACACTCAAATACGTTAGAGAAGAATATGCTCTGAGGAGAAAAGTCTCAGGTGTATATATATACCTTAGATGCTTAAAACCACCTTCACCAAAAGTGGACACTCTATTGCAGAAGTAGATCAAGCTTAGAATGGGCCACTTAAATAACTCAACAGAACCCGCTTAAAGCACAGAAATAAGACCAGAGACTGCACACTGCTAGTTGTCACCTACAACTCCACACTGTAACTCAGACAGGGTATCAGACTATTATAACCCATACTCAATGGAGACTACATTCTGAAGAATCTTTCTGGTACCTCCAAGCTTCATCAGTCGCTCCACGCTGATCAGGATACGCCATTCAAAACAGCATCCCATCCTTCCAGAACACATGCAAAATCTGCATACTACTGCTACAATAATCCCCATAATGCATCTTTCAGATCCCTGCGTGCTACATGTGCCTATCAGAATGTGTTGTACTTCTTCCAATGCACTAAATGCCCCAATAACAATTATGTGAGTGAAATAAATCAGTATGCTCTCAAATGAACTCACAAAAATAAAGACTAAAACACCCTCTGCATGAATACTTTTCACAAAGTAATCACTCTATATCCAAACTTTCAATCTTCATTCCCAAAAGGGCAGTATTTCTCAATGTGGTCCATGGATCCACTCTGAGAAACCTGCTAACTGGCTGCTCTGATTTGTTTATTTACCAGCTGTTTGCAGCCAAGGGGAGCTGTGGGAAACATCATGGGCCAGTCCGCTGCTTCCTGTGGCTCCCCTTGGCTGCAAACAGCGAACCAGAGCCAATGGAAGCCACAAGGCTCTGTGGCTGCGGAACTAGTAAATAAACATATCTGAGTGGCCAGTTAACAGGTTACTCAAAGCAGATCCATGGACTACTTTGAGAAACACTGCAATAGGGATGTGAAAAGTAACTGGTTAACAAGTAATGCTTACCGGTTCTGGTTTACAGTTAACCAGGGGGAGCTTAATTTTACATCCCTAATCCCCAATGAAACCTGCAAAATGCATTCAAAAGAAAAGCCTCAGAGTTTAAAGTAATAACTTTCATAGACACTAAAAATCATGGACTGAATATGGACACTGGATTTATGGCTCATTAAAACAATCTGTGACTAACCTCCAAGGTATTTTTTTCTCCCCCTTCCTTCTCTTATGACTGGAAAGGTGTTAACTGTCCACTTCACCTTGAAATGTGCTAAACAATCTGTTCCATCTCGTACATTTCCCAGACCCGAAGAAATGTTCATCTTAAGATCGATAGCTTGTATCTCTCTCACCTATAGAAGTTAGTCCTGGCTATGACAAAACTGCATATAAGAAAACAAAATGGTAACAGTAATCAATTTGGTATCGCAATCATGCTTAAACTTTTTTCAATTCTGAGATTTCCTGTTTTAGCAATTATTCTTCAATTTAAGTACAAAGGAATCTCTTAAACTGGTAAATCTTTCAAAATGGAACACACTAAATGTAATCATTGTCATGCATTTTTCTTACTATGTATTCACCTGTTGCTTCAATGGATAACTTCTTTTGTTTTAAAACACATTTTAGAGACACTCACCAGAGAACTATGCACCCTCATTTAAAAATACCATTTCAATTTTCAATATTTAAATACTGAGAAACAGTAATGTAATAATTAAAATTAGTATAAAACTACCAACTTAGTCAAAATGGCAGAGTAGTTCTGGGTTACTCAGAGCAATTCACAATGGTTATATATTGACAATCCAGAGAACGGCGGCTGGGTATATAAGTATTAAATAATGTTGATTTATGATGTTTTATAGTGTTTTATTCTTTTAACTATGAAAATGTTATACACTGAAGAGTTATTTAGAGGACAAATTACACAAGAATTACACAGTCTGTGAGCAGTGCACAATAAAACACATTTTTACATTAAAACATCTTGTCAGCCTTCAACAAATGAGCAAATTTTGGTTGCAAACAAGTTACAAAGTGCTGTTGGTAGCATTTTTCCCACAAAAAGGATCATGCTTACTAAGATACTTTTTCATGTAGTAACGATTAAATCAGAATTAGACTTCTAAATAGTAAGACGGAGAAACTGACCCATTTAGCAACGTAATTTAACACACAGAGACAGATTCAAAGACAGAAATTGGTCATCTGTTTTTAAAAAAAGATAATCAATATGCTTATTATGATTTTTAAGTTGATTTTCTAAGAGTGAGTTGCTGACAGCCAAATCCTAATTGTTTCATTTGCACAGACAGAATAGCAATTTCAAAAAAGCAAGAATTAATTCCAAATGCTTTTACTAAAACCATCCCAACAAAAATAGTGCCATTGCAGCTGCATGCTAATCTTTCTACAATAATTCGATAATTTTCTATTACCATATGTGCTACAAGTTGAATCTTTCCCTTCTCAAGCATATGGCTAACAAAGACTACATCTATACTGCTGCTTTTTTTCCAGAAAAAGGTACGCAAATCGCACTCCACAATTTGCGTACATTTTTCTGATTCTTTTTTGGGAAGAAGCTTTTCAGAAATTTGGCCCGTCTACATAGGGCCAGATTTTGGGAAACAAAACCTCTCTTTCAGAATATCCCTTCTTCCTCATAAAACGAGGTTTACAGGAATGCTGACAAAACGCATCCACTTTTCTGACACTTTTTCTCGGAAAAGCAAATGATACCTCTGGTATCCTGGAAAAAATGCCATAGTCTAGACATAGCCAAAATGTCTATGCATGTGCTATGGCCATTTAAGTCCTCCAGTGGTGCACAGATCTCTTGATGGGATTGTTAGAGGACACATTTGCAGATACTGAAAAAAAATCATGGGAATTTTGCTACTTCCTTCTAGATTTTAAATCATGTAGCTTGGATTGTGTTGGGAGAGGAGGAGGGGAATCATGAAAGGCTGACTGATTTAATAATATATGAAAGGCTGAACAGTAGCTGAATGTAAAATAGACAAGCACAAGCTATTGTTACTGAAATTTATAAATTAACTTTCTACAAAGGAGGCAATTTATCTTTTATCAACACTTACAATTCTTTCATAACCAAGAATGTTAAATTTGTTTGTAAGCTCACAGAAACTTGGAGAATGGGCATTTTTAGACAGATTTTTTTAAATAGTTTTACAACAATATGGCTTTATCTTCAAAGCCATTACTTCTTCATGAGAGTAATCTCATTGACACAATCTCAGTTACCTGAAAGTAGGTACTCATATGATTTAAGAGCTGTAGGACTATGTCCATGAAATTTCACTAAAACTCCTGATAACTGTATCTTGTTAGAAGGATCTGATTTTTTATTATTAGAAAACACTTTAAGATGTAACATTTGTTGAGCTGAAACAAAATTCACATCTAGGATCCTCCTTTCTTTGGGTAGGTGAATTGGATTTCATTGTATGTCACATGACCAAAATGCAACTTTATGCAGATTAGTTGACTGCACCTCATTTTTCTACCATGCACACACAGGTACATATACTATATTTTGGTACCTGAGAACATAAAGATACCTGACAGCCCTATGAAGCAGCTGTTGTATCTTACTGTATTGTATGTCACTCCCATAGAAATCATAGACTGAACACCATTCCTCCAATAACATGAAATATTTTTAGTAACAAATAAGAAGCATTTTACCTCCCCTAAATTCTTTGTTTCCAAACTAATTTTGAGTGGTTTAAAAAAGGCCAACCAAAGCACACCACAAAATTAAAAGAATCATTAGATAAAAGCATTAGCACTGAGTTCTCAAAGTTTCACTTTAAAATTGTATCAAAATTAACATTCATCTCAAGGAAAAGTTTGATTTTTTAAATATATTTTCCCTAAATCTTGTCTTTAACTACTTCTAAATATACATCTATACACACAAAACAATATTACTAAAACATAAGAAGAGAATAACAGAGTTAAGTTAGTATCTACCTTTCTCTCTGCCCATGAGGTGTTGAATCCTGATTTTCCTTGACATTTACACAATGATTTCTGCCCTTTTTCCGAACAAGGCAGGTGGAGAAAGAATGAATGCTTAAACTTTTTACAACAAAATATTCTAAAAATCTAGGATCTGATTTAGCAATGGACTTCTTACACTGGGACAGAGCCCTAGTGATTTCAATAGCAGTAGCAATCGATCTGCTTTGGAATAGGACTAAGACTACTGATTTTTTCTATTCAGTTATAATTCATGAGGTAACAGATTTGTTTTTTTAAATTTGTAAATAATTTTGTACTATGCTTTACAAAAGGAGTGCTTTTTTTGCAGCAATAATGTGTATGTATATAGACATTTATATAGCTAATTTTTTAATGGCCTAGAACACCTTTAAACCATGAAACTCTTATTCTAGCTCTAATTTTCAAATAGTTTTCAACTTGAATGCACTTTTGAAAAGATGACTGGATACTTTTTACATATCTGACAATGCTTAAAAACATAGCTAGTTTTGTCTGCTAATTATGGTCAATATCCTTCTCACTCTGGTTTTCACTGTGGACTGATAAAATGAGTAGAAAGCTAACTCAAATAGCTATAAATCTGTTGATGGCTAGTGAGTTCAGACCATTGAGCATCTTCCCACCTCTAAGGCTATGTCTACACTGCAGAGCTTTTCCGGGATACTAAAGGTATCCCGGAAAAGCTCTGCCATGTCCAAGGAATGCATCTGCTTTATTGGAACAGTTTCCGAAAAAGCAGACACGTTCTTCCACCATCACTGTAATCCTCATTGTATGCAAACTAAGGGATGTTCCAAAAGAGCAGGATTTTCCAAAATTTGGCCCCATGCAGACAGGCCAAATTTTGGAAAAGCCTCTTTTGAACACCCCCCCCCCCGCTTGCAAATGGTGTTTCGCAGTTTGCACATCTTTCTCCAACTTTTCTTTGCAGTCTAGACTTAATCAGGTTTTTTGGGGGGAAACTCCCAAAGAAAACATCTCTATATATTGTTGTCTCCTTGCAAATTGCAGGGTAAAGTGTTCAAGAATTAATGTTTGATCCTGTCATATTTAATTCTCACAAGTTCCTACTTCATGCATGTAAACTTGAGGGGGACTTGGGAGTGTTTTGGGGTGAGGTGTGGCTTGAGAAGCCATGCAGCAGCAGCCTAGATGGTATACTGTCAGGGAGAACAGGAAAAATCTGGGGAAACAGCAGAGAGTATGGCCCTTTTTTCCCCCCACACACACCTTCAGATGCACAGAGAAATCCATGGGTGAAAGTCCAAACTTCCTGAGATCTTTGTATGGACTGCCAAACCTTATTCTGAAGTAATGATACTGTGCAGATCCTGTAATTTCAATCCATCTATTTTTCCAGCTAATTACTGCCCATTTGTGATACAGCCAGAATTTCCTCTTTTGAAAAAGGTATATGTTTTTGTCAAAATATGATTATTTTCATAAAGAAGGTTGTTATATCCTGCTGACAGTGGTTAAATATTCCATGGCCAATGACTAGTTGGCAAAACTTCCATTGACTTCAGTAGGGTCAGGATTTTACTCCATGACTATGAGTCATCTCAGTTTATTTTATTTTTAAAGCTACTGGTTTTAAGTCTGCAAAGTGGGATGTGCAGTAATGTGTTAAATGGCAGTAAACTTTATTTTTGTTTAAACTGACGTAAATGTAATTTTCATGACACATATAATTAAGAGTGGGTATTTATTAATATTGCTTATAAAGGTTTACAATGAAATGGTTTCTTTAGGCAAGCCTCTCACCAGAACACTTAATAATAAAGCCTCTCAGAGTAAAACAAACATACATTTGGGGTCAGATGCTTATGAGTATTTAGGGGCCTAAAGGACTTGGAGCCTAGTGGGATTTTCAAAAATTCCTAGATGCTTAACTCCTATCAATAGCTAGTAAGGCAGTTTTGAAAATCCCACTAGGCATCTAGCTGCATCTTGAGGCTCTTAAATATCCTTAAACACCCACTTCTTAGTGTTTTTAAAAGGAAGGGGGTAAACAACTTTGTTTTGATAGTTTAGTTATTGACATACAAATATATTTATACAGTGACAGGTTGTTTTTAAACCCACATTCAGCAATGATTCTTGCAGTTTAATATACAGAGTGGCCTAGATTTTCTGGGAGAAAATCCCCTCTTTGTAAGAAAAGGAGACCAAGACTTATATGTTTGCTGAGAGGCTCAGAGGCAGGGGAGTAGTAGTTCTCAATGGCCTCTCTGGACAAGTTTCTTCATGGGAGAGGATGCTCTGATCCAAATTTTCTATAGCTTTCAAAATGCTATTTGTAGTAATTAAAATTGTGGAATGATGTCACATTTATTGGATCAGGTTTGTTAATGGAGATGAATGTGGCAGAAATAGGTTATTGTACAAAGTGCTCCTTCAATTCAGAAACCAAGCTGTCAGAGAAAAAAAATATTTCTATTGCACTAATTAAAATGTTTGGCTCTTAAGCAGTATTTTTAATTTTAATATTTAAAAGTAAATATTATGCCAATTTTGAGTCACCTAAAATGTGTTCAATTTATCATGATTTATATTTTCCATTTTCAAATCTGGTTAATAGTATTTACTTGAAAATAAATCAACAGTCTTATTTGGGCGTGGGTAAATTAAATTAATAAATAACCAGAAACATCACTCCGCACACAAAAAATAAATTGCAGTAGTCTTCTTAGAAACATAAAATTATGATTTCCACAATGTTCCATTGCCTCACTAGGCACTGAAATGTGGCAATTTAAATGTATTCTTTGATTGTAATGTGAACTACATTGAATAGAGGGTACATAAGAAAAATAAAAGAAATGTATCAGTTTCTTACAGGGCACCTGATCAAAATCTGTACAAAAGATAATATTTCAAGATAATTACTCATTCTTTAACATAATAATATACAGATGCCACCTTTTATAAATGTACCAATATGTTCACTTGCCAATAAAACAGTAAACAAATCAATATTTTAAACAATTCTTATAAATTATTTGGAGCATTTTTTACCACCACTCTCCAACAATGTACAAAAATAATACTACGGGAATATCAATCAGTCTGACCTACCCCTCACTCCACAGAAGAGCAGAGGCTATAGAAATAGATGTTCTTATAATCAATCATCATTGTAGATGTCTCCGGCAAATGGTAGGTGCACATGGCTTCCTGTGACATTGGGAAGTCGAGACAGATCAGGAAGATTCTGGATTCGTGTCCTAAGTTCTTTTCTCACCTGGGATACTCTGGCTAACTTGCGCTTGTATTCCTGTAATGCAAAAGTAGTTGACAGATGATTTTCCAATCATAGCAGGATTTTCAAAATCCCATCCATATTATTTAACTGACATTTCATTGATCACGACTCCCTTAAGCAAGTGAGGTAATTAAATATATGTTTATAGGTGAGGAGTTAGAGAATCAGATAATTCCAAATAGAGTTTATCATCTGCTAGAACTAGTGTTTGATTCCCAAGAATCACAACACTGCTCAAGAGATTGATTTAGATCACTGCACATTTTATTTTTGGGGTTTTTTCTTTATTCTACGACTATAAGAAAGCTAAATAAGAAGAATGCCAGTTTTAGATAATATAACTGTAGAAATTTCTACATGTGACTAATAGCATGGAGTAATTCTGAGATATGGTATTAAAGCTACTTGTGACTAATTTTTTTTCCATTTACCCCATAACTCTACTGACATCCAGAAAGTTATTAGTCATTTACACTAGCAAAAGAGTTGCAATAGTCTTAATTCCTTCCAATTAAAGCAAGACAAATGCCGAGCAAGAAAAATGTCAGTGAATGCACTAACAGTCAATCAAATATATAAGAAAACTGTCAGTAAAAATGACAAGACAACTTAGAATTAATATTTTTTCCTTACACCATAGTAAATTTCCAGACGAGAGTGAATATTTTTTATATTTAATCTGAATGTATGAACTCCTTGATGGTCAAAATAATGGACTAAAAATAGATTCTATATTTCTGCACAAATAGAAGTTGCACAAATCTGTATTTGTTTTGAAACCATATTTTTTCCAGGTGCAATTTGAATTTATTCGAGGGTTTTTTTGGGTTTTTTTACATTTTATTATCAAAGTTGGAGTTTTTTTGTTTACAGGTTGAATTAGTATCCTCAATGCCTTCCTCATGAACAAAATACCATTGCACGGTGTTGTATTATTTTCTGGAATTGAACTCAGTGAATAATGAGGCTAACAACAATTTGGTTTATATATTAAAATCCATTATTGTACTGACCATCAGATGGAATAGTGAGCTATCCTGAGCCCAAAGTTTCACAGAAATAGTACTCTGTATTCTAGTACCTTATGTGCTGATCCTGCCAACCCCTTAAGAATTCAAGGGTGAAATCCTGAACCCATTGAAATCCATAGTAAAACTCATATTGATTTAAACTGGAGGGAGAGAGGCAAGATTTTACTCAATGTATTTGAAAGATTGGGGTCATCAGGAGACTCGCAAATAGTTTTGCAAAGATTAAATAAGCCATTCAAACTTCAACAACACTGAGATAAGCATTATTATCCCCATTTTAAAAAAAATGGTTAGACTGAAATACATGGAAGTTGAATAACTTCTTCAACATGCCAGAATCTAACATTGGCTCCCTGATGTGCTCTAAACACTAGACAGATCTGACATTAAAACACTGGAAACTGCTGCTAATGACTGCTGCATAGTATCCAGAGGTCTCAATGGGATTAACTTTGTACAGACAGAGATACAAAGAAATGATCCTTTGCCATAAAGATCATAACATCTAAAAGTCTGATAGCAATCTTATGTCTTCATCTCCATTAATTTCTAGTCCAGCCTACATGAACACACACTTGAGAATTCTTTAATTTAGGTGGCAGAGACATTCAAATTTAAGGAAAGAACAAGGAGTCATGGTTCACACAGACAAATAAATAGGTAATATGTATAACATTTAATTGCATTAGGTTCACCAGTTTCAGAACAAAAATGTCTAAAGTTCCAATAAGGCGGCACCAGATTACAAGAAACTGACAGAAAGGTTGAAGCCAATAGATTTGGATTCAGCAATGATATACAGTAAAACTCCATTAGTCCGGCATTCAATGCTCCGGGACTCCTGATGGTCCGGCACCATCAGGAACCCGGAAGTGCTGGGGCAGCCGGACAGGCTTCCCCCATTCAGCTGCTGCTGAAACTGACCAGCAACGGCTGAATCAGGGACGCCTGGGGCAGAGCCGGACTATTGTAAGGGGGGACTGTGAGGGTCTGGGGTGGCATCCCCTCCCGCCCCACTCCAGACCCCTCATAGCCCCCCCTTCTGATAGTCCGTCATATCTGATAATCCGGCACCCCCTGGGTCCTAAAGGTGCCGGATTGTCGGAAGTTTACTGTAAATGGTTTGCAACAGTACAGGAGAGGTTCAGTGGAACATTAAGCAAAACCAAACTGTCCAATGAGATTAAAAATTGGCAAAAACCCAACTAGTCTAAATATAAAATAATACTAATGGTACCCTTTCATTAAAGAAAACTAATTGGGACAGCATTAAATAAAGCTTAATTCCAATTTTTTCCCCAAAATAGGAAAGAATTGTACCGCAGTTGAGGCTGACACACCTTACAGAATTGATTGAGGATCCAAGAAAATAGTCTAGTGGTTACAATTTTTCCCCAAAATAGGCTGAACACCTTACAGAATTGATTGAGGATCCAAGAAAATAGTCTAGTGGTTACAGAATGCTAAGAAGTTACTAAAAAAAAAAAATCTGAAATTTGCAATTGGAAAAGACTCTTAATACTTCACATAACAGGTTCCTTAGCAGGCTGCTCAACACCACACTAAAAATTTCCTTCCACTTGTAATATAACATTCCCGTAGGGTATGTCTACACTGCATTCCTCTTATCGAAAAAGGAATGCAAATACAGCTGAGCAAAATTGCAAATGAAGCACAGATTTGAATTTCCTGCACTTCATTTGCATAATCATGTCCAGACGCTATTTCAAAATACCCTTTTTCAAAAAAAGAAATGCAGTCTAGATGTGGTTATTTCGAAAGAAAACTCTTCTTTTGAAATTACCCTTAAACCTCATTTTATAAGGAGTAAGGGTAATTTCTAAAGAAGGGTTTTCTTTCGAACTAACCGTGTATAGACTGCGTTTCTTTTTTCTAAATAGGGTATTTCGAAATAACGCCCAGACGTGATTATGCAAATGAAGCACGGGAAATTCAAATCCGCTCATTTGCAATTTCACTCAGCTGCATTTGCATTCCTCTCTCAAAAGAGGAATGAAGTGTAGACACACCCATATTAATTATCTCCGGAATATGTAACATCACCCAAAGCAATTTTCCATCATGAACCTCCCACAGGATTAGAATGTGTATTGAGATTTTATGAAGCAATAAATATTCTAGAATCTAATGATCTAATTTATCATGTACTTCCTTAGCAGTCAAGTAAAATTCTGAATTTGTCCAAAATTTTCATAGCAATGTTGAGTAGCCAACTTGGGGTGGAGATTGATTTTCAGACCAGAGATGCTCAGCTGTTTCGGAAAGGAAAAACTTGTGGGTTTTTTTTAAAGTTTATAATTTGGGCGATTAAAGTTTATAAGTTGGTCAAATTTGGGTAGGTATGCACAAGAATGGTGAAAGGAACATTTGTGACATAAAGACCACCCCTCAGATTACAAATGCCATATCTACTGCCTGGGATGCTAAAGGAAAAGTCACAAGTTTTTTTTTAAAGTGGAAAAACATACTTTTTCTAGCCTTATTCTAAGAAACACCTGGACCATTCTGACTGAAACTTTCCACAAAATTCAGCCTGAGGCAGACACCTGGCTTAAAAAATGTCAGCCAAAATGATTACTGCTTGGCAAAAGTATAAACAACTGAAAACAGGATCTTCTAATGGGAAGTATCAAGTAATCTTAACAATTAGTGGAGCTTTTAACTGTGCCTATCATATGTTTACCAAAGCTCTCCAATGATCTATGTTAATTTACAAAATGGATTAGCATGCAAATGGATTAGCAAATGAATTATCTGCTGAAGGCTTGGACTATGCAAATATCTGCTGCAATTACACATTTAGTGAAAAGAGAAGAAGTACAGTAATTTCTAGAAATGGGATAGGATGGCAGATGCACAGTCATGTGGCCAGTGGTAGTAAAATAGGTTATAAGTAATCTCCTGGTGGCAAGAATGTGTCTCTTTTCATATACGATTGTTAACTGTATTTTGAAGAGGTAATGCTAGTTAAGAATTTGGCAAAAAGTATAATCTCACCCCCCAAAGTGACAGGTTCCCTATAGATTCTTTAAATTTCATTAAATATTTCAAGTCTTGCTTCCCTGCCAAAACCATCAGGATGCTCTGAAACATCATAGATAATACAGGATTAGTCAAGGAAGAATAGTTCTGAGTAAATGGGCTGGAACATTGTATTAACACTGATGTGCTGTACAACAAGAGCCAGGTAAAACAACTACTAAAAGTTAGCAAACTTTGGGATTGAAAGCAATGAAAACAAAATGCCTGCAGCCTAGAGACAGCTTCAGAAATGTGTGACTTCCTGACAATGGAGCTATTTAAAGAAAATGAATTTCTGAAAGCTAACACAGGTCATTTTAAAAATAAATCTAATATTAAACTTACAAATTTGTTAAAGCAGGTTTTCACAAGCTTACTTAAGAAGAGTTGTGTGCAATACAGGCATATATATTTACTATATCTATTAACTGAACTTTAAAATCTCATCTGTCAGACAAACATTTCATTTCAAAAGCCATTGCCTGCAGGTTCTCATGAAGCACTGAATTCTACCCTGAGATCCATGCATATAACTTTGACTTCAGCAAAGTTGTGCTTGTGTGTTCAAGGGCAAAATATGGCTTTAGCACTTAATAGAGACAACTGTTTACTTCAGTGGTGGTTATGAGTGCTGAGCATCTCTAATAATCAGGCTATAAATGTTTCAACGAATTAACCTATTTAATGCGCAAAGCAAACAGAATTTGACCTGTGTTAAATCTGATCATTGCTATGCTATTTCCCCTTCCAGAAGCCCAAATACATGACCTCAGGAACTCTACTTTTTAGCTTTTTAAACTCAAGAGTTTTAACGGAGGCACTATCCAAAGCAATATTCTGATTAGGTAGATGTACCATTTTGATGATGTCTCACATATGCATTGAGGGACAAATCCAGTTGCCCCAGGGAATTTTGGGGGAACAGCAGGGAGGGAAGGG